CCCCAAAACCCCAAAACCCCAAAACCCCAAAACCCCTTTTGAGATAAGTCTCTGATATTAGGGTGATTCAAACTAAACTGTAAAAGATTCTTACGTAATAAATTCACAAGATAACAATTAATTTGTAATTTTGATGAAATCGTATTTATAGTTCAAATTAGATCTTATGGCAAAATGCACAAGATGTCTTGTCCAGAGGGATTTCTCTAACTGAGCTTATATTCTTGAAATCATTGGAGGTCTTCTAAAATTTTCGCCTCCAAGTTCAAGCTCGATTCCATTAATTTCTGAATTTGTGAGTGCATGAATGGCTAAATCAATAAACTCCTGATGATTTTGATATCTTTTTATCACTGAATCAAGTATTAAAGCTCTTCTCAGCTCTTTATCTTTTGTGTATGACATCTCAGGCATCAATGTTGTCATTGATGAGGGAGAGATACTACAGAATCTAATGTTTCTTCTTACAAAAGTATCTGCTGTTGCCATTGTGTAGAAGCTTTCAGATACCCATTGGGTGTAATATTTTGATAGCTTCTCTAGCTCCTCTGTATTAATCATCGGAGACACATTCAGAATAACACCTTCACAAGATCCAGGGCCTTCAGACTTTAGTTGAGTGAAATAGTAAGTTGAATAAAGAGATCCTAGGAAATTTGCAAAGTAACCTCTGGGAGCAGTGTAAAATTTACTTAGTGAAGTTCTCACTACAGTTGGATCGACACTGAAGAGTCCAACACAGTTAATGACAGCATCTATCTGTCCGAAAAGAGAATATGCATGATACATGGCTTCCTTCACTTGGAATTTCTGAGTTACATCTCACTTGACAAAGAGGAAATAGTTTTGGTCTATTTCTTTTGCCATCTCTTCTCCTTTGTCTATATATGTATGTTAACATTATTCTATTGTGTAAAGTACAATTTCCTGTTGAATGAAACTTCATTTCAAGTCCTAACCTTTAGAAAGAGAGAATTGAAAATTAAGCTTTATCTGTTAGAGTTTACAATGAGTGAAGGCTCATGTTATTCGATTCCTCAGTATTAAAATAAAAAATGAAGTTAAATCCTACCTGAAATATCAGCGATGATTACTCTGGCTCCTTGGAGCAATAAATGCTCAACAAGATGTCTTCCAAATCCGGAGACTCCTCCTGTAACAAAAATGATTGAATTTTCCAAAATCATATTTGGGTTTAAGATCTTTAATAATTAAATTTAGCCTCTGTTTTATGCAGAAGCTTCGGGGTTTTGGGGTTTTGGGGTTTTGGGGTTTTGGGGTTTTGGGG